TATGAGTTTGCGATCGTTATATAATTTAATAAATACAAAATTTCCTCCCAGCAACATGCGCGCTGTACTACTTGCCTAAATAACAAGGCTGGAATCTAGTTGTGTCCCAGCCGCTCGCAGCGCAAGTGACATTCTGCACTCGCTCCTTGAACTTCCACTCGTAGCCATCTTTACAGCTGACGTTGAGCATCGACCCATTAGTATATGACGCATTCTCTTGGTGGTTCGAGACAGCATTCGTGATGTTGACGTCATTGATCTCGCAAGCTGCCGAAGACGTAATTAGCAGTCACGAGGATGAATATGACTACCCAAATAAAAATTAAGGGTGGAGCACCGATGATAATAGGTGGCGATAGTAGATTATAGGTGGCGTAACGGTGGGTGGCCAGATCTGCCGAAAATCGACAATAAAAGACCAATAAATCGAAAGAGTGGCGAGTATAGATGGGAGTCATCGATGAATCATTGATGATTTGTAGGGTCTGAAACATCTATGGCTCATAGCAGACAAATCTCTTGTGAGCCACCGATAACCGTTTGCCCAAACTGCACAGTGCACGAAGGTATTTACCACTGTAATTTATCCAACGTATAGTGAGGTGTTTTTGGATTGCAGGTCATTCAAGATTAAGATGAAACCATGTCTTGTGCTTGGCGTTCTGGCGTTCGTTCAGCGTTCTGAGACGAAACGTTCTGTGTGCTTAGCATTTAAGATTAAGTTCTGTTAAGAAAATTTAGCGAAAATTTAGCATGAATTCTGTAGGTACGAGTAAAACTGACAGATAGGAGCAAGGTGTTCACAAATTTTCCAAACCAAAGTGAAGCCACTGGGCATGTATCACACTGCTTCTGATATAAATTGTCCGCAGAACAATGGAAAATTTTTGTCGCAAAAAATTGTTTCTCAAAAGTAGACAGCGAATCCAATTTTTTATGTTCACATGAGATATTGAGTAAATTTATTACGAATTATGCTTATACGCCAACTGGCTGTGTTGGAAATATTGNGTTATGGGCCTGTCTCTTATACACATCTAGATGTGTATAAGAGACCAGTTCAGGTCCCGTCGCTCTAATTAGCTATTGCCAGTCCGGAATTTCGTGACTAATTTTACTTTCGGTTTTAATTCGAGATTATAATTCCGATGTTTATATATGACAATATATTTTGTACTGATATTATACTGTTGTAAATCAACACAGAGACCAAATTCCTTACTTTCTAACATCGAACAAACATTCTGCCAAATTGGTTACCTCTGACACAAGTCTTTAGCTGCGATAGATCCCATCCATGGTCATTACACTTGATCGTTTGGCTGCGTTTGTCGAGCGCCCACTCGTAGCCGAAGTCGCACACGACGTCTAAAGTGTCGCTAGGAAAATACTTGTAATCATTTGTAAATGCAGAAAAGTGGGAATTATCCCATTTATCCAGCACCCAGTTGCAACCTGTAAGTACGTAGATAAATGATAATGTTTACGCACCACACGGCATTTTGGGAATCTACAACCGGCTGGTTGATAAAGTATTATGACAAACTGATTCATTCAGAATACATGAAATGAACTGATTCCAGATGAATGTCAGTTATTCGGCAATCTGATAATCTATTTTCAGTGAAGTACGGAACTATTTTGGCTGAAAACAATATGGCTGCGTTGAAATTATTATTAATAAACTCACGGTGAAAGCAATCAGTTTTAAAATTTGGACTTTCTTGCCAAAGACCAGACTCGTTGCACCTCACGGAGGCGTCGGAGAGCAGAGCCATGTTATCCTGGAGTTTCAGTCACATTTTACTGAATAGTCGCCAAGAATTTCCATTGTTAACTTAAACGTACGAATAATATTAACTTGTAGCGTTAAGGCATATTCATTGGGATAACAGTGTTTGGCGTGCCCAGGGGCCATACTTTCAAAACTCGCTAAGTGAACGTAAGTACTTACGCTCTATTTTCTTGTCTATGATTGGTGGATTTTGCTTGACAGCCCGTCAATGATTGGCTGATGAACTTACGATCTCTAAACTTTTTTTGAAAGTATAGGCCCAGGTCAACCGATTATCTGACGATTTGTAGCGTAGTTAAGCGGAGTTTTCAAATCTTAATATTTTAAATTCAAAATTTTCATATGACAAAAGATTTGCTTGGGTTATGGAGCAACCAGATCATTTTGCCTTCAATTACAGGTCATGGAGGCATTCCAGTATTATTTCCTATTCGTGGACCTTACTACTAAAAAACTCGGTGGAATAATCGACCGAAGCTTATTGTCTTGATAATTACTAGACTCAAAATTACATCAGTGATGGAGCAGGCCATCAGTGCTATGTCAAATATTTTCATAAATTATTAGATTCGAAACTAATACAACACGCAATTGTTAACATCACAAGCGAAATACATCCTTTGAATATTGTCCATTGTTTTGGTGTACTTGTGCATTTATTCTCGACCCTGTTATTCATAAAACACAAACCTTCCAAATTAGACATATATGAATATTTTTTTAAGGGGACCGCCCTAGCTAAAATTTGAAAATTTTGAGTTTTTCTGTTTCTTGTCTCATCTTAAAGGTTGTTTTCTTGCGCATCGAACGGTATAAGTATCTTCTCCGTGGTAATTGCCGATAGATCTAAACGTTTTCTTACAATATATAATTAAAACTATTGTATTTGGCATACCAGCGTCTCCGTGGTAATTGCCAATGAACAGAAGCTTGTAGTCGGGGCTGGGACCGATGGTGACGTTGTCGTACGTAGCGATCCTGGATCCGCCTCCGCGTAGGGTGAGCTCCACCTGGTAAAAAAATATAACCCAGTACTCACTGCAGTGAGTGACAGAGAGCGCATTTTTTTGTCGACGGAAACGTGATGTCACGGATGGACAGGCAGACGGACGGACGGACAGACGGACATGGCGAGCACAATAGTGAATTTTTTCCATAAATGAGAAAATGCGCCAAAAAGGCTGGATGCTGACTGTGTGACTTGCAGTCAGCTAAAAAGTTATACAGTGACTGCATACAGCTTTGCAATAGTTATGACAATCTGATAAATTTGATCTAATAATGGAATTATTGCGTCAAGAATTGGATTAAGGGGACCGTTTTGGTCCCGGAAAAACTTCTACATTTATCAACCGATCTTTCTGAAATTTCATACACATACGTAAAAAGTAAAATAAAAAAAATAATTTGATCAAATGAATTTTTTTAAATAAATGAAAGAAAACGTGAAATTATAAGAAAACGGTAGAAAAGGAGGTATTTCAAAAGTTTATATATTTCGCAAATCACATGCCACAATATCGAGACACATTGCACTCGATTTGTAACAAAATTATCTGAAAATAATTATGAAACTTACGTGCATAACGATAGCAGCTTCGGAGCTGCTTACTGTTTTTGTCAGGTTGTGCCAGTTCGTCAGACCTGAGAAGCGCGAAATGACAATTATCGTCAAGGTATATTTTCTGCATCCGAGAAACCGTTTGATTTTCATTCCGATAACTGATTTTATTATAAATGCCGAAACTTTGGCACATTATTCAGCCCTTTTTAGCCATTTTCTCATTTATGGAAAAATGCACTATTGCACTCGCCATGTCCGTCCGTCCGTCTGTCTGTCCGTCCGCCTGTCCGTGACCTCATGTTTTCGTCGACGAGAAAATGCGCTCTCTGTCACTCACTGCAGTGAGTACTGAGTTATATTTTTTTAATCATAGTGAATTTCCAAAATAAGAAAGTTCATATGGTTTGCTTACAATTTTATTCGAAAATATATCACTGCCAGAAAAATATTTTGCATGCATACAATCCATACAAAAAAATATCTTCTTAAGGCACAATCGAAACGATTTTTATATCACATTATTCTAGGAATTATTTGCACTTCTTGATAACCGCATTCAATTAGACAGGTAAAAGTTGTCAAATATCAATTATAAGATTTGTAGCTGACAAAATTATTTTTTCAATTTTTTAATAGTGAAAAAAAATTTTCAATTTTTGAAATCATTTATTTTGAAATTTGATTCATGCATTGCATCCAACCTTACACAAGTGTGCAAAATTTCAGATCGCTAGGATAAGTAGAAGTGTATTAAATTTCGATTACAAGATTTGTAGCAGACAGACAAACAATCAAACAGACAAGAAGTGCAGATAAAGAGAAGTGTTGTAAATAATATACATTTAAAAATTACTTTTTAAAAACAACACTTCTAAAGAATCCAGTGTCTCCAATGTTAAAGATGTAAAATGAATTTCTCATTTTATTTTCCGATATTAAAAAAATAGTTTTTATTATTTTTTTTCAAAATTATATTTTCTGTCTATTGATTCATGCATTGCCTCCGACTTCAAACAAGTGTGCAGAATTTCAGATCAATTGGACAGGTCAAAGTGTGTCAAATATCAGTTATAAGATTTGTAGCTGACAAAATTATTTTTTTCAATTTTTTTAATATCGAAAAGAAATTGTAATTTCTAAAATCATTTATTTTGTCATTTGAATCTTGCATTGTCTCCAACTTTATGCAAGTGTGCAAAATTTCAGATCGATAGGATAGTAGAAGTGTGTTTAATTTCGATTATAAGATTTGTAGCAGACAGACAGACAAACATACAGACAGACAAACAAGAAGTGAAGTTAAAGAGAAGTGTTGTAAAATAGTACCCATTGAAATATATATTACTAAACTATTTACATCTGTGCCGTAGAAGTAGTCTGGTGAGCAGTTATAGTTGACGACGGTGCCGACGATGGCGTTGGTGAAGTTCTTGTCCCATGTCATGTTCGAGCCCGGGCAGGGAGGTGTAGCCTTGCATGCTGTACATCAAAACGATTAGCTCTCACTTACTGATCACATAAAAATCAGAGCGCAAGTGGGGATTTTTTGGGTCAATTCATTCGTTTGTTTTGTTCAAATTCAAAGTACAAACACAATTCGAATTTCATGTTCAGGTGAGTCAAGGTTAACTTACAGTAACCGGTGCACTATCTGAAGCTCATTCATAACTGTCATCAAAGCTGTTTTCTTGAATATTGTAAGATACGATAGGATATTAGAGACTTTACACCTCTAACAAAATCTGAGGGAACACTATTAAACGGCTTGGTTGATTCTATTGGGGAAAGATACACCGACGCTATGTTTTTTCTAGGGTGAAATAAGTGTAAATTTGCGACGAGTTCCTCAAAACATGTTTAACATTCTAGCAGAGCAGTTATTCCATCGTATCTGAGAAGTCTTTAGACATGGGAACCTTATTTATTTTATTTAACACTGGAGGACTGTGACAGGAAAATATTCAAATGTTGGGGGTGAAAATTCGACATGCTAAAATTGATGGATAAATTTATCTTACTTTTTAGTAACTTGAAATCTCAACAAATTTACCAGCTCTACAGCAGACATCTATAACATTTTTAGTATACGTAACTGTATTTTTTTCGGTACGTTATTCACGTTCTACTTACGGGCACAGGGCTCAAAGGGGTCTCCCGTCAAAGTGAAGTTCTGCGCAACGTCAACGGCCTTGGGATTCACAATTATGCACTTCCTTGACTGGAATCGCTTTCCACTGCTGGTGCTTGCGCCATATGGGCACGTGTAGTTCATGGTGCCGTTCACGTATTCCGGGTCGTCCATTGTTACGTTAGCTGCGCTGATACCGGCAGCAGTGAAGTTTGTACGCTCAGCCTCCACCAGCGACTGACAGACTGGTCAACAACAATTTAGCGCAAAGATCGTTACATACTTCTAGATCCAAACCATAATTATTGTTTGATCATTGATTATTATGAATTAACTTCCACTCATGAATACATGGCCTGACCTGACTTAAATCAAGGATTATCTGTCCGCACAGTTTAATGTGGTCTCCAAAAAAAATTATTTCTGAACATATCAGGTTGCTCACGTACAACTGCATATAATTCAGATCTTCAAACTGGGGTGCTAAATGTCATCGAAAAAACAATAACATCAATTTAGTCAGTGGCGCTCTTATTTAGGAGTGAAATTCTCGTAGTTACCAGGAACTTTGGAGCAGTTCTGCAGTTCCGTGTACTTAGTGCTGTCGTACCGCCAGTTCCCTGCGTTACCCACGCACCAATACCTCTGGCGGACAGGGTTGCTTGTGTTGCCGTTGATGAAGTATCCCGGGAAGCATCTGACACAAATTCGAAAATTAATTTGTCCAATTAATCATATGCTCTCGTAGACCGCTTACTTTACTGTCAATGCGGTGGGAATAATTTTAAATTATTGCGATATCGCACAGTGAATTATATTGTTGCTTTAAAAGCTTAATAGTGACTAGGAATGGATCGAAAAATAACGTGACTTGGCCGTTTAAAAGTAAAATATGCTTAGTCTTAGATGCTTAGTCGTGCATAAGTAATGTATCTTAATCATGAAACAGTTATTAGAGAGCACCTAACAACAAGTGAGACTGAGTTCATCCCGTGAAAAAAAAGCCTCAGTAGCTCATTATTATTTCAATTATAGCGTGAACATGTTTCGACATGACGCTTCGGGACCCACTTGTAAACAGCGGAGTTTCCGGTAGCTTTAAGAAATTCTCCTTTTTCCGTGTTGATATCCCGCGTCATGTTTTGAGTAGCAGGAGGTGGGTCACTATCGCATCCTGTTAAAAAAATCTTTTTCAGCTCAAAGTCGTGCCTACAAAATAAAATTACATCGTACAAATTAAGGAAATCCGGTGATTATACTCTTCTAATAAAAGTCTGGACAACTGTTTTTGTCTTGGCCAGAATTGTAAGAGCTAACTAAAACTAGCCAGACAGGAACAACTAGACAATAAATTGCTCTCTCCTTTCTTTTGTTAAGCGGAGGGATACATATTCCACACACAAATAGAAATATACTTACAGAGAATCAAAAATTGTCAGCAAAATATTCGATTCTGATCGAATCCAGAATATAGCAACAAATTCCTACTTACAAATCAACTTCTGGCGTAAAAAAAAACACATGTCAACTTAACAAATGGGACCTCCCATTCTGCCAAGTCTTCAAAAACCCTCAGGCGTAAATCTGACATTTATTTTACACTCTAAGAACAGACAAAAAAATTTTATTAGAACAGCAAAACGATATTAAACTAAAATAATTATGAAAAATGTGAACCTATGCTGCAAAACCGTTATGTCTCAAACTATATGGTATAAGAGAAGCGCCGGCAGTAAGCAGAAGCAGGCACTTCTGCTCCAAAATACGGTTCTGTTCGAGCTATATTGATCATGAAAAAACTTCACGTCGCACGCACACTAAACGTGAACGTTTTTCATATATTCAATAATAAATTGCGATAAAATACGAGTGTAGAAAATAGTTTATAAATGTTAATTAATTAATTATTTAATTAAAAGTGATGATTGAGTGATTGAGGTGACGAGTGAGTCGCTCGGTACTCAAGGACGTAGGGCGGGAAGGTTGGGTTTATGCTACGTAGTTCTTTGGTCTAGATATTCTTTATTGTGAGTCGCTCTCGGTGAGACAGTCGGGAACCGCTCTCTGGACAACTGCTCATGGACGCGAATATTTGCTACTGACGATATAGTGCAACATGTACCGCAGTGTAGGAGTTTTGGAAGCGTGTGAGAGTAGTTGTTTGGGTACACGCGTCAGTGAAGCTTTTCTTAAGCGTCTGGAATGAATGTGAGCTCATTGACGAGATGTCGGATGTAAATTTTCTATGATGGTTCAGGTTTTGCGCGCTTGTAGTTGGATGGCTGCATTTATAGTGAGGGGGCTACATTGTTTGTGTATTTTTCGTATGGGTATAATGTCGAAAATGCCTTTATTGGCGATGAAAATGGACACCATTGATAGTACCTAGATGTGTGTACCTCACAAAAAATATAACTCAGCACTCACTGCAGTGAGTGACAGAGAGCGCATTTTCTCGTCGACGAAAACTTGAAGTCACGGACGGACGGACAGACAGACGGACAGACGGACAGACAGACAGACAGACAGACGGACGGACGGACATGGCGAGAACAATAGTGAACTTTTCCATGAATGAGAAAATGCGCTAAAAAGGGAAGTGCAGGATGCAATTCACGTTAGGAGGAAGGTAACGGAAGGTGTTCATTTTAAACGGCTATTGATATTCCTATTGAACTTTGAGCACTGAAACCGTGTGAGGTAAAATATAATCCTAAAACTTTTCTTTTGTTCGTGCGTTGGTAGTTGGCACGAACACATCTCTGATATGTTTTGCCTACTAACGAGAATGATTAATGATTTATAAAAATAAATTTTATATATTTAATAAATTTACATAACATTTCATTTACTATTACAGACATGCACGTAAAGATGCAAAAGTTATGGGCTTACTGAGGTGTCCTGGCCACATGCAGACATATTTGTGGATGGTGGTTGGTCCAGTGGAGAAATTGTAGCTTGTTTGGTTAACTTGGAGCACCGCGACGCCCCATGCGGAGGCTTTGAACAGCGACTCCAGGGCAGCATCACGAGGGAAGGCATCGAAGGACCAATTGTCATCCACACTATAATGAACAGCAGGTTAGACGACACAGGTCAAAGCAGTTCATCGTTTAAAGGTAATTCCCTGATGACCTTCGTGGTAAGTGACGTAGACAAATAATATTATCTAACGAGGTGCAGCTTCTCCCTGGGTTGGTATAGCATTTACTACAGTTAGAACGTACACGACCTAGTGAATACATTCTATAACGTTTTGGTCTCTCCTCCTTAAAGTGTTAATTGCCAAAAATTTAGGATATAATTATTATGATGGCTGTATATAGACGATTATCCTTCTCACGGTTCATATCAGATCAACCACGATAAGGATGCTATCAAATCGCAGACATTATTTATCTAGAGCTATCTACGGAATTATCGTGCACAGACGCGCGTGTAATGAGAAATTTATTGTGTTCAGTTATTTTCATGGCTGCATTCGATGTCAATTCAATATTTTAATTCGTTTTCAAAATCATCCACAAGATTACGAGTGCCTAACTATATTATTTCCTAAATTTCAATGAAAAGAATGTGAGCAATTTTAGAAGCTTGAAAATATTGAGCTACTGTATGATTGTGTTGATTTATTTCTCATTCCAAATAGTGAACCTAGAACATACTATAGTCTAGTTCTTATTTCATAACATTCATAACTTTTGAGGAAATGTTTGGATGGCCGATGGCCCGAACGTTTATAATTAAGTCATTTTTAAAATTGCATCGTATACATAGAAGTTTTCCAGCAAACTCTGGACACTATTATAGGCCTGATTCAAAGTAATAAGTATTAAGTAAAGTAGTAAGTAATTAATTAATACGTAATTTTTTAAAAATATACATTTAAATATAATACTTCTTATTTTGAAAGGCCCACATGTACACAGATTTTACTCACCTTGACGCTAGTCCCAGCACCACATTCATTGGATAAGGTCCATCTTGTTTCTGGAAATATAAATCCGTTTCAATTGTAGCATGCGAAAGGATAAATCTAACTGATAGCATTAATTTTCCATTATTGATATTTAAAGCATCCATAACTTTTACAATGATATCTGGAATATCGTTATGCACACGGCAAAAACTTCCTACTTTGATCATATTGGATAACATTTTTTATGAAACAAGGGATCCTGGTTGTTAAAAACGCAGGCAATGGCGCTAATTTTACATTTATCCATTCATTAATCATATAAAAATAACTGATTATGTGAATAATTTTATGTTAATTATAATTATGTGTGTATCCATGAATAATAAAATTAGGTTGCATACATTCTCTTGTTTCGTATTTCAACTGCTGGAGTTCAGACGCGCTTATATTCTCAATTTTGCAAATAATACATATCCATTCTTCAGAAGACATCATTACCTTAGAATATACTATACCTTTTAACTAATTAATATTGTAATATTTCCTTTAAATATATTTCTTCTACGATCAGGACTTGTAGTACCACAAGCACTTTCTTCCATACCAATTTACGCAGCTACGCAAACCACACGCACATTCATATACATCACACTCCCTGCACACACCACACTCCCTGCACAAACCACACTCCCTGCACACACCACACTCCCTGCACACACCACACTTCCTGCACACACCACACTCCCTGCACACACCACACTTCCTGCACACATCACACTTCCTGCACACACCACACTCCCTGCACGCATCACACGCACCACGTAAACAACGTTTAATAGGCAGAATCGTGCGCACCTGAATAAACTTAACGAGACTCTCCAGGTCGCTGAGAGACGTAGGCCGCGCTAGAGCTCCTCCTGTCGCACTGCAGTTCTGCTGAAGACTGGCAAGCTCGGATAAAAAGTATCCGTAGGTGACGTCTGCTGCAATATTCCTGTCTCTTATATAATAGCAGCTGCCGCCTGTCCCAGCGCGGACGTACTTCGTAGGACACACCGCGGGTTTCATGCAAGCGTATCCTATGTTAGACCAGCAATTTGAGCAGCTCAGTTGGGTCTTGTTCTTCAAGATGATACATCCGTTTGGTCTGCCGTCTCCCTGACAATAAGATAATATAACTCTATTTAAACTTTTCTTTGGAACATTCAATATATTTGCAGAAAAGTATAGCTAAAATTTTAAATTATTGCAGTTCTTGAGTATAGATATCACAGCGACCGAGCTTCCATTTAGCTAAGCTGTACAATACAGGTTACAATTTCGACCTCAACCATACTACTAACAATCTGTTCAAATTCTATATCAAACGCATTTAACGAACGACGGTTTATTTATAACGCACATTGCTTGTCGATGATGACCAGCAATCATGTTCATTTGATGGATTTGAAGGGTTGTCGAATTTGTATCTGGTGGATAAAAAAATCGTCGCTTAGTAACGGTGTAAATCCATACTACAGTTTAATCATTGATCCACATTTACAGTAACATTTACAGTGTACTAGTAGAAACGGTATAAATCCATGCATACTACGGTATAATAATTGATTCACTATCCCACATTACAAATTATATAATTACGGCTTAAATTTGGCAATAAGTTGCTCGAGCTTAAATCCAACTAGACGCTAATTTGGCGTTATTATGTTTGAACTAGAGAATGGACCAAGTGATCGGGAACAGAGAAGTCTTTCATAAAATATGCAATGAGAGGGTATAAGCCACACCTGCTACCATGGGCTGTGTAATATTCTGATTCGGAGATCGAGAGGTTCAGGTTGCCAGATCTTAATCGCACCAAGTTTGCTCCTTGTGCCGTGCACCTGTCATGACAGATACATGGAAAACTGTGATGTAGGCATGAATGATGTGATCCAAAAGACACACTTAGTGAAAAAGAGAATCTCATGGTCGTAATTTTTCTCTAGGTATAGTTTGTGAGGCTGACAATTTTGATTGAAATATAAATTTTAAATACTAACGATTTATGTTACAAATTATGCCTCACTTTCGGTACACTCAAATATATGTTTTGCAATATAATCAAAATACATTATTCGGTTGAATTTGACAATGTTGAATTGGACAATTGGATTAAACAATGGGAATATAAGAAAAAAAAAGATATGAGCTACTGAAAGGTCGCGATTAATGGTTTATATTATTAATCATGCTACGAGTATACTAATTCCAATTGCATCATTCAACACTCCAACACCTAAATGCAATCAATAATATGAATTACCATAATCCCTTGAAGTATTATTTGAGTAAAAGGAGAGAATTATGCCCCTTGGTGCCACTCATTTGAATTATACGTCATATATGTGCTTAATATGCTTCCTCTAATGATCGACCTGATAAAACACTTGAAGCACGCAAAAAGACTGCCGTTAGTTACGCTTTTATGAGTAAAAACAGATTTGCGAGGAAATTTTTGTAAATGCTGCATGTTACTGTCTTCTTTTTACCCAAACCTTACATTCTGATCGAGCTTTCAATGTCCTTCGCTGCATAACGTCTGAAATGTAACTTTGATAAAATAAATATATAATATGGAAAATAAATATTCTCAGAAGTGCCTTGTTATCTATTCCAGATAAAAAATTAATTCTATGCAATCGTTATCAAGAAACTGAAGATGAAAGCTAGTTTCTGTCAACAACCGAACCAACCTGTAGGCGGCGTTGAGGAAGCTGGTCGCCTTAGGATCTTCCATGAACTTGTAGCATTCATCGGCTGTTGTGCTCTCTACGTAGTCGTCCGTACACCCAACTGAAGGAAGAGTGAATTCATACAATGAAGGACATTAATAGAATAGGATTATAAATCATTATGTAATTAGGATACTCCGCCGATTATCAGGTTTCCCGATATTACACGTCCCTCTCGCCACACATAGCGTGCCAATGATGACCAAGCATCGTGCACTCACAGCTGCAAGGTAAGGTGACGTTTCTGTCCCACCGCGGGGGGTTTCCGCTCAGGCATGTCACATTTCCCTGAAATGTTCGGTCTTCAAAGACGTTTCCCTCCATGTAGAACTCCCCCAGGCACTTGTAAGAAAGATTCGCCCCCGGCAGGCGATCGTGCGGGAAGTTCTGTACCGATGTGGTGGCGTTCCACGAAGATGAGTCAACGTCGCCATTTAGCATGAGTGGGCAGCTGGTGCCTGTCGAGTAAGCGAAGCGGTAAAAATTAGCGGGCACCGACGGTTATTTCCGCGGCATTATATGTACTTGTACTTTATGTCTTTTAAGAGCATAAATTCTCAGAGCAAATTTTTCGTTGATGAACCGAGAATCCAAGGTAAAATATAAAGTTCATATGATATTCAGATCTTGTACTCATGTCTCGCCTGCATCTTGTTTGGCTGCAACTTACTTTCGTCGATGGATTTCGGTCGAATGTATATCTTAGCCGTCCGAATATCAGGAGCAGATCCCCATATTAGGCGGCATTGTGTGGTAGACTGTGGGATCACTGGTTTCAGGTATGACTGTGAGAATCAAACAGTAAAAACGATCATGCTTCTATGGAACGAATATTAATAATATGCAACTTACCCTAAGTTCTGGGCTCGGATCCTGCCATCTTTATTATTTCCAGCGCTACGAGTCACTGTGTGACGAAAATGTAACAAGATAAAATGTGAGCTTCATTCCTATGCTCTGACTAAAAAAATTCAACTTCAGTAATTAAATTTTAAGTGATATAAAATCAATTGTTCAAATTATCATGCGTGATATCATTTGAAAGTCCCTGATGTACTTAATAGACATCGATTGATCCTCATTCCCCAATTGTAGCTCCCCTGTGGCACGCCAATAAACATGAAAATTAGATGGACAATAGTAATCGTTTTAGATTGATATGATTAAGAAGAACATAGAAATTCATATCTTTAGATATAAAAAATTAGAGAAATATAACGACGAATAGCGTAAAATTAGAAAAGATAACGTCAAGACGATCTGTACTAATTATTTACGGATTGACGGTATGAAATAAAGATATAAAATTTGGCTAGTAAATAGATCGGAATAGATCATTGCGAAACAGGACTATTGAAAATAACGTAATCTCTATGGATTGAAAAGCTAACAAGTACCTAATTGTGTTATGCAAGAAAATTGCATAATGAAAAATTCTTGGGCCAAAAAAAAATTTTTTCATTAAATTGGAAGCAAAATTTAAACTTAGATTGTAGATATATGAATACGAATTCTAGAATAAATTGTCGTAAAAATTCAACTTATGAAAAATTCAGGGAAAAATGAAGGAATGTGAAGACAAGTTAGAATTTGGGAGTACTGGAAGCGCGATGGGAGCGAGGATTTGGGTGAAGTAGTTGCGATAGATTTGGCTTTACTCTCGGACATAATAGTGTCCGAGAAACGTGTTCAGCAAATTGATAAGCAAATGTGACATTCTACCTATAGTTTAAGAAAAGTCTACATTGCTTTCTCAATTTCTGGAGTACCTCTTAAATGGTGCAAAATAAGAAACAAGCATCGGCGAAAAGTAACGTAGAATTTTTTCCAAAGGCCCAAAAATATATTCGGTAGCATATGAACATGAACAAAAGCTTTTACTATTGCTCAAATTCAATTTGTGGCCTCATTTTCAATTAGTGGCCGTGAGAAAAAAATAACGCAAGTAACCCATGTTCTTATAAACCAAGTCATTCAGAAGTTTAAACATGCGCTCAGGCAAGTTGAAATAACTGACCCCTTTTTTTTCTTTGATGAGTTGACACGTCGAAGTGTCGTTGTTGGCGATCCACGGAGTCCACCAACCCAATAGGAAGTCCACACCCAGGCTGTGCCACAGCGCGTCGCCTGCACAGCAAGGAAAATAAGTCTACAATGAATGCAAACCTGCTGATCTTGTTTGTGCGAACTCAAATTTATATGAATTAACTAGCCATGAATGCCCGAGTGTGTATGATTTAATTTGTGTGTTCTTGTTTGCATGATTCAAACTCAAGTCCTGTGTGAACTTTTCTTTCCTAATAAGAACTTTGACTTCGTTCGTTAAAATTTTGTGAGGAAATTGGTCATGCTAAAAATAATTGTGCGAACTTTGGTTATAAATTCAATACTGTAGCAAACATTTTGTAGCAAATTGATGATTATTTACGTCAAATTACAGCTAAATGCCTAGAAAATCAGAATCTAATCCACGCGCCGGCGTCTCCGTGGTAATTGCCGGTGAAAATAGAATTTTTCTTGCAATATATAATTTAAAATAATTTTATTAAACATACCAGCGTCTCCGTGGTAATTGCCGGTGTAAATAGGATATTTCTTACAATATATAATTAAAAATTATTTTATTAAACATACCAGCGTCTCCGTGGTATTTGCCGATGAATCTAAGCGCTCTTTTACAATATAATTAATAATTATTGTATTTAGCACCAGTGTCTCCGTGGTAATTGCCGATGAATTTAGGGGTTTCTTACAATATATAATTAATAACTATTGTATTTAGCTTACTAGCGTCTCCGTGGTAATTGCCGCTGGATTTAGGCGTTTCTTACAATATATAATTAACTATTGTATTTAGCATACCAGCGTCTCCGTGCCGATGAATCGAAGCGCTTTCTTACACTATATAATTAATAACTATTGTATTTAGCATACCAGCGTCTCCGTGGTAATTGCCGATGGACAGAAGCTTGTAGTCGGGGCTGGGGCCGATGGTGACGTTGTCGTACGTAGCGATCCTGGATCCTCCTCTGCGTAAAGTGAGCTCCACCTGGTAAAAAAATGCTGGAAGCTGACTGTGTGAATTGATGTCATACAAAAAGTAATACAGTGACCGCACACAGGCTTGCAACAGTTTATGACAACCTGCTGAATTTTCGGCAAAAGTTGAATTATTGTGACAAAAAAAGGAATAGAAACCTTTTTTGAAACCTTTTTTGCAAATTATTCATGCCAATGAATGCAATAACAATGAAAAAAATTAGATCGTATTTGTAATGTGGTTCCATGAAAATTCCTACGTGAACGTACAAATTTTCAAACAAGTGGAAGGCTGTTTTTTTTAATTGGCGAGAATTTGGGTTTAGAATGCTTTAAAATTACGCGTTAACAACAATTTCAATATGAATAATACATATAAGATAGTTTAATTGAATTGCCCTGAATATTCGCTTAAAGCTTTAACAATGGAAAATGTCAACAGCATGCATCTATTTCTATAGTATAGTAGAATAGTATAGTAGTTTCGGCGCTCAAGAATATGCCACGTTTGGCTTGTGTGAGCGCGATAACAATTCAACAAAGATAAATAATTCAACGCTCAAGGACCAGCACAAAATTCAAATTTTATTCTGTTCTCATACACTTGGATGCGCGCTGAAATTGCATCCTCAATCTTTGTTCTTATTTGCACGCGTAGAACTGACAGGCTCGTTTTTGTAAACCGGAATTTTTTGTGTCAGGTGGAGGTGTAATTTATTTGTCACGGTATGTGATGCTAGGAATGCTTGCGACGTCAAAAATAAACGAGCCAGTCAGTTACTTGAATGGTAATCATTCGTGTAATTTAAATTTCCAGTATTAATGTTGAGAATTCTACTTAAAGCAAGTTATCAAGAACAGAAATTTAAATAATTATGAAACTTACGTGCATAACGATTGCAGCTTCGGAGCTGCTTACTGTTTTTGTCAGATTGTGCCAGTTCATCAGCCCTGAGAAGCAGAAACGACAATTATTATCGCTAAGGCAAATTTTCTGCATCCGAGAAGCCGTTTGATTTCTATTCTGATAACTGATAATTGATTTCATAATAAATGCAAAAACTTCGGTATATTATTTAGCCTAGATTTTGATCATAGTGAATTTTCAGAAAATGGAAGTTCATATGCTTACAATCTTCGAAAATATATCACTGTCAGAGAAATATTTTTGCAGGCATACAATCCATACTGGAAAGAAATATCTTCTAGAGTGTGAAATAAGATGTGCCAACAGTCGGACCCAGAGAGCTCTTCGGTATCAAAGAGAGCAGCTCATAAACTCTCAGCTGCATAAACTGCGCGAGTAATCAAGTTTGAAAAAAATTAAATAATGCGTTTACTTATATAATAGAAAATAAATTAAATGAATATATCTACCTATGCTGTAGGGACAGGAGCTCGAAGTCATTACGGTTGTCAAGTTTACAATTGTAGAACTCGAGTCGTTCTGGATGCAGTAGACGACTGTCCAGCCACCGCCAGATGCCTCCATGTCACATGTAACCTGCAGCAAAAGCCTCTTAGTGTCAAATAGAATCACAGTCTCGTTGCAAAATCGTTCAGTATAAACATAATAGAAGTTCTTATTATTCACAGGAGGAAGCAGATTCATAGGTCCGTACACTGAAGTCTGCTAACCCTGATGATGTTATCGCTATTCTAGACAACGTTCCGAATCAGGCAGGTTTCGTGGGTTTAAGCCACTCGCACGATACAAAGTAGAAGACAAATTTCCACGCTGAATCTGAATATATGAATAGTGACTCGCAGATATATGTATTGATTAACCTTTCAATCAAGCGAACAGGAGCTGATCTCAATATGTTTCTCAAGTTCTCTCTTTCATACTGTAACTACAAATTTTAATCTTTTATGGTGCATATGAAGAATTTTGCCCTATCGTCTGTCGGATAAATTTGATTACTATTTACAATAAACGTGAGTCAATTTTTTACTCTGACCGAGTCAGATTTTCTCGTTTATGATGAAACAGAATGCTAAAAATTACCATCATTTAAATTGAAAACGACATTTTTAGAACTCAATTCAAGACGTGTTCCTATGCAGGAGGAAATAAGTGTGTAGCTAAATTTAGACTTGATCTGAACTTAGCAACACACTTACGTTGACCGGCGCGTCGTCCGGGTCCCCCGAAGAAATCACTTGGTAGGTGTCGCTGTCGTCGAATCCAAGCGCCTGCACGTCTGCGCAGTGCCTCGGCCATGGGTTTAGGTCGCACGCTGTTTTCAGATAATTAATGCAACATCAACTACATACGTAATACTAATGGTTGATAGAATATGGAATCTTAAATGGAGCCGCGATCAAGGTTGTAATATCCTTAGAAAAATGGAGGACAGTTACGATAACCTTTTGAATTTTGTTGGACCGCGTATCTCCAG